CTTGGCGTCAGTGCACCTGTTGTCCATGGGGGGACAGTGCTGTTATAGAGGTACAGGTAGCTCTAGGTGTTTCCCTTTCAGATGCTCAGGTCAAGGCTTTGTTTCAAGCTATAGGGGCAGGCTGTTGGTTCACAGCAGTGGACCTTCACAATGCCTATTTTCACATTCCCATCAGTCCAGGTCCTTTCAGGACTGAGCCTTTAAGGACAACATCATGCCTTTTGGTTTGCCCCACAAATATTCACGAAATGTATGGATTTTGCACTTATTCCTCTGCTGCCGAATGGGTGTTCAGCTATCTGGACAACTGGTTGGTGTGTGCTCCATCACAGAGCCTGGCATGGAGCCCAACAGAAGCTTTGTTGGCACATCTGGCTGCTCTCGGATTATGCCTGAATGTAGAAAAGAGCCACCTGGACCAGTCTAGTATCTAGGACTAGTTCTGGAATCAGTCACCATGAAAGCTTGCTTGACCCTGTAAAAAAGGAAGGTGATCTCAGAGCACATCACGGGCTGCATTTCATGCAGGGCACTGTCAGTGGGTGTAGGACTTGTTCTCAGCAGCTGCCCCAGTTGTGCCATTGGACCTGTTGCACACACACATCTGCCTGCCTGGAGACAGGCTTTATTGGCCAAATAAGTGTCATCATCCAAACTACATTACATATATATACGTTACATTTATAGAACACTGCACATGATGTCTACATTTCAACTTCACTTTGTGTGTCCTGTATTTATTCCTAACTGCACTGCTTTCCTTTACTATCAGTCGTCTGTCACACTTATGTGCATCCACACCTGAATCCACGGAAGTCAACTATTGGATAGATGTTGTGTCACCTACACCTGTTTAAACTTGACGGGGTGGCCGAACAGTCCAAGTTAAACTTGCTTCTTTGTTTCTGTGAAGGTTGAAAGCAATGTAGTCCAGCTGAAATCTGCCGCTGTGCCAGTGCAGTCAGGCTTAGAATATAAAAGACTCAGCCGGAGGAGTGAATTCGGGGTTAGAATACTTATCAGTGGAGAGAGAACATGTCTGCTGCTATACTGACTCTACTCAGCTACCTTTGATTTGAATTTGGGTTCAGCATATTCCTGTCTAAAGCTTCACTTGTATCACTGTAAACTGTGCTGCTCAGTGTATTCATGTTTGACTACAACATCAGTCAGTCAGTCAATAATGTGATTTCTGGAACTGTTCAGGTATTAGTAGTATAATCTCTGTGAGCTGCATCAATGATGTGAATGTCTTGATGAGCTGCTCTGACATAAGTTACATAGCACTGATTTGTTTCCCAAACATATGATCAGTTGCCACTATGACAAATAATCATCTAATGTGCCAAATACAATGTAATAAACTACCATATCCAGCTCATGAAATGAAAGGCTGCCTGACATTTGGTCATGGTTACCTACCTGAGTGATGTCACCCACAGTCAAGCTGTGTACCTTAAGTTATAAAATCTCTTCTGTCTCTTTCACAAGCATCAGCAACCCAACAAAGTAAAAAACAAACAAAAAAAAAACATGAATGTTAAATAGCAGAGGACTAAAAAGTGTAATGTTTCTTTCTGAAATATAGTGAATTAGAAGTACACAACAATAACAAAAGTATTTGGACATCTGAACAAAACATGTTCCACACCAGAATATGTGGCTGTGTATATGGAGCATGTGATTTTAAGACCATGGGCTTTAATGTTTTAGTTCTGTGTCTTAGTTAATGTCTGTACTTACTCCTAGTTCTGTGTTTGCATTATTTTGGCTTTCTCTGCTCTGAGTTCTGTTTTATCCTAGCTTCAGTCTGTTTTCCCTGTTGGTTGTGGTTTATTTGTGATCTGTCTGCTTGCGTCTGGATTAGTTTATTTGTTTCATTCTGATCTGTTACATCTTATTTGTTACGGCCTGTGTTTAGTGTTCAGTAACCTGTGTTCTGTCTGTTCCCCCGCTAATCCCTCTGCCTGCCTTTCTCATTAGTCCTGATCCCTCTCACCTGTGTTGCTCCCGACTGCTCGTTAGTCCCTGATGGATAAATGGTTGGTGTTTCTGTTCAGTTCCCGTCCGGTCATTGTAGCTTGTAATGCTCTATCTCTTGTGGATACATTTAGCCTGTTCGTTCACCCTGCTTGTTTCTGTGGATTTTGGATTTCTGTTGGATCACCTTGTTTTATTTTGACTGTTTATTTTGGAAAGCCTCAGTTCAGCCAATCTGCCTGTAAGTGTGCTCGCCTTTAGTTTGTTTAATAAACCTTTTGAAGTGTACCTGCTCAGCTCAGTGTCCTGCATTTGGGTCCACCAACCTTTCAACCACACCCCACCGTGACACATGCATAGTTCCTAGTTAAGGACTACTAGCCAATCAGAAGCAGGTTAGGGCGGGTTGTGAGAGCTCTGTCTCTACATCACAGTAACAATTTTATGTCCACTGACTGCCTGGAGGGTAGCTAGTGTTTGGAAGGGAGACGAGAGGTGTGCTGCGGCTCACTGTTTTTCCACCGGTGTTTTTGAGAGCGTGTCGGACTAGACTCAAAGGAGAGGGAAAAAGCCACAAAGCAGAATTTGACCTTTTTTAATGTCCTTGGTTACAATTAAAAAGGTACAAAAAAAAAGGTGGGCATGCTTTGTAAAATATAAACAAAATGATTTGCAAAACAATGAAACCCCATATTTAATTGAAAATAGCACAAAGACAACTTTCAAATGTTAAATGTTATTGGAAAATTATGATTTTTCAAAAAAAATTGGGACAGTGCCAACAAAGACTGGAAAAGTTGGACTGAGGCAAAGTGGAAAAACTGTCAAAATGTGAAATTCTGGTTGGAAATCATGGACGCCGCATCGTCTGGGCCAAATAGGAAGTGCATAGTATCCAGCGTCTGTAATGGTATGGGCTTGCATTAGTGCACATGGCATGGTTAACATGCACATTTGTGAAGGCACCATTAAAGCTGAACGATATATAAAGGTTTGGAGCAACATGCACTCACCAGCAACTTTATTAGGTACACTTTGCTAGTACCAGGTTGGACCCCATTTTGCCTTCAGAACTGCCTTAATTCTTCATGGCATACTTTCAACAAGGTGTTGGAAACATTCATGCACATCCATGATGAGAATCATGGATGTGCATGAATTCGTTCCACCACATCCCAAAGGCGCTCTATTGGAGTGAGATCTGGTGACTGTGGAGGCCACTGGAGTACAGTGAACTCATTGTCATGTTCAAGAAACCAGTTTGAGATGATTTGAGCTCTGTGACACCACCAGCACCAGCCTGAACCGTTGATACAAAGCAGGATGGATCCATGCTTTCATGTTGTTTATGCCAAATTCTGACCCTACCGTCTGAATCATGAGACCAGGCAACGTTTTTCCAGTCTTCTACTGTCCAGTTTTGGTGAGCCTGTGTGAATTGTAGCCTCAGTTTCCTGTTCTTAGCCGACAGGAGTGGCACTCGGTGTGGTCTTCTGCTGCTTCAAGGTTCACTGTGTTGTGCGTTCAGAGATGGTATCCTGCACACCTTGGTTGTAACGAGTGGATATTTGAGTTACTGTTTTCTTTCTGTCATCTCCAACCAGTCTGTCCATTCTCCTCTGACCTCTGACATCAACAAGGCATTTTCATCCACACAGCTGCCGCTCACTGGATTTAGAGTCTTTTTCGGAACCATTCTCTGTAAACCCTAGAGATGGCTGTGCGTGAAAATCCGGCACCAACAACCATGCCACGTTCAGAGTTACTTAAATCCCCTTTCTTCCCCATTCTGATGCTCGCTTTGAACTTGAACCACGTCTACATGCCTAAATGCATTGAGTTGTTGCCATGTGATTGGCTGATAAGCTATTTGTGTTAACAAGCAATTGAACAGGTGTTCCTAATAAAGTGGTCGGTGAGTGTACGCTGCCAAGCAGACGTCTTTTTCAGGGACGGCCTTGCTTATTTCAGCAAGACAATGCCAAACACACACAGTATAGTTCCTCAGTAAGAGTCAGGGTGCTAAACTGGCCTGCCTGCAGTCCACCCACTGAAAATGTTTGTCACATTTTGAAACGTAAAATAGAACAAATGAGACCTGAACTGTTGAGCAGCTGAAATCCTACATCAAGCAAGAATGAGAAAACATTCCACTTTCAAGGTCACAACATCTCCTCAGTTAGCGGACGCTTACAGAGTGTTGTTAAAAGAAGAGCATCCAAGGAAGGTTAAAATCAAGGGCAACTGGACTTGGTTGAAGATACTGTCCAGATGATCGATACCGCTGTTTCGTTAGTGCTCCTGACTGTTGTAACGACAGTCGTCAAGTCTGAACGACCATCACTGGCAACTTCACCTGAGACCAAAAGTGAATATATCAAATTCTAAACAGGCATATAATTTACCAAAAACAACAGTTTCTCAGTTTCAACATTTTAAAGTTGTCTTTGTGCTATTTTCAATTAAATATGGGGTTTCAATATTTTGCACATCATCACATTTTGGTGGAGCTGGGGTGCCAGGAGCCAAACCGCATCAGTACTACATTTCCTGTCATCGAACTGGCCATCGTTGGTCTTAGAGCGGGCTAGACCTAGCGGTGGATGGCTAATATTGAATAAAACGTTTAACACACCAAGTACAAAGTGACAAGTTTCATTTTAACATAGCTTCAGGATACCTTCTGAATATAACAAGTATACCAAGGTTTATGTGGTTTCTATATAGGCCTTCTTAAATCTGTTTTTTTGTTTGTTGTTTTGTTTACTTAGGAGCATGGAGGTGAAGGGAAGAGATGGGGGATCTGAGGATACTCAGTGTAGCATTACTGTTGTAGGCTACAGTATGTTTACCCATTGGTGCTAACATTTTGAAAAAAAAACATTCTGGACAAACCCTTGGATTATTTATGTATGTTCAGTATATATATAATATGGATTTATATTATTTACTGAAATCTTATGATAAATAAATAGATTAATAGTTTTATAGAATACTATTAAATAAAACTGCAAGAGATGTGTGGGCATTCAAATCTTTTGTAATTTCCAAACTTTACAAATAGTGCAAATGTAACATAAAAACACAAATAAAAGCTTTTTAACAGCAATCCATTTGATAGCCTTTAACAAATTTACACAAGTGTGGGTCAGAGTTGCTATAATAAGCAGTTATGGCAACATGAGAACTGCAAACTTTTACACAAAAAACAAAATCTCTCAGGCCCAGCTCACTGTTACAGGAAATCCTTGCACTGAAGTAAAAACACAGATATTTTCATTGCAAAAACAAGCAGGAAGTATCCTGTAATTATTGGAAGAGATAGATTCACTTTCAGCAAATGATGATATTGGCTTTTGCATGCATCATGCAGAAACATTCACATTCACATCTTCACCTATTATTTCAGAAAAACTACATTTGCATAATGTAAAAGTTGTAACTTCACACAATATTTCATATTTCATATTTTTGAACAGGAAAATAAATTACATGCTACTTAAACCTTAGTGGAGATTGTTCCTAATCTGTACCAAAAGAAAATAAATCCTACATGTACATGCCTCATTTTGTTTCACTAAATGCTTCTGTCCTGTATGAATATTTTCTACACAAATGACAGTGAAAATACAGACCAAAAAGCTAATCCAATCTGTGTGGCTGCTTCTCTACTTGATATGACATTTCAACATCTCAAAAACCAAAACCATAAACATGAGATACAATGTTTTCATTTCCAAATGGACCTATTTTTAGCTTTGTGAAAAAAATAAAGCAAACAACAAACATAGCCAAACGCAAGCGCTGGAAGACGTGACCAAAATTCAATTCCAATGAAAGTGCCATGATCAGTAAATCCTGCGCAAAACTCGGGCAGTTAGCACATCGTACAGTAAGGCAACTGTGGAAGGTTCAAAAAGTGTTGTTTTCCTCCAGGGCTGGACCAGTATTTGTTGTTGTACCTACAACATATAGCTTTGACTGTGACCACAATCATTCTATAACCATATCTAAGTTGTTTTTTAACCCGAACCACATTTCTTTCTTAACCCTAACGCTAATTAAGTAGCTTCTTAAGCCTAAACTTAACCAAACCTTACCCAGATCAGAAAAAATGAACATATGAATAATTTCTTGGCATATATGAAAAGCACTGATAAACAATGCTTTCTGCTGATGGGGGCCCACAGATCCAAAAACATTCACATGGGTGGGTTTAGAAAGCAACGTGTATTTTGTCGTTCGGTTTGTACTGGCACGAGATTTTGGTTATCAGAAGGTCCAATCCAAACATGTCAGCGCTGCTGTCAGCCTTAGCGAACAAACACTGGTCAAACCTGGTCTCTCCTGGTTCTGGCAGCTCATATCTGTACCAAACGTTTTCAAGTCTCAAACACAGTCAATCAAACACACCTTACATTCACAATCACCTTCTGTAACTGTCAGTGAAAACCACAGCACACACACTGCAAAGCAAACAGTCCAAAGGTACAACGGCTCTCTGAGGCTCCGATGCCTCTTCTGCTAAGTGGGTCAGAATCCCTTGGTGCTGAACATTCTGTAGCATATGGTAAATGGGTTGCATTTGTAGAAATGACTCTACTGCCCACTTCCGTTACCTTGATCTTTGGTCATAAAATGGAGCCTAATGCCACATTTTAGAAACTCAAAAGGGAAAGAAAACCAAAACTATTTAAAACTAGCTTTAACATGGACATTTCTCAGAGCCTCACTCTGGTTTTGGACCATCTGAATATTCAAATGTACTGCCCCCTCATACTGGTTCAGTGTGTTCTCAGAAGAATTCATAGAAGTGCCCTCCCTGGATCCTGTGTTTGACGGTCCTGGTCTTCTTACTGCTGACTTAAAGCCACACCAGTCAATCTGACAACAGGTGAAACAGGACCAAACACCCATTCTTGGTTTCGTCTTGACCCATTTTCTCTTAGACAGGTGACCCAGTGTTTCGTGGCTGGACGCTGACTGAATCACTGCATCACACACTTCTCTTTCTGCTGTTTGGCGTACTTCCTCCTCCGCTGCTCCAGGCCTCGTTCAAGACGCTCGTCCTCCTCCAGAGCTCTGAAGACAAGCAGGCAGGAGAAGAGTCACAGGATGTCTTCACAGGATGTGTTTCAGATGCACTTTCTCAGAATCAGAATTAGTCAGAAATTAGTAATTAATTATCAATAAAAAATCATTATCAATAATGAACAAACACAGTAAAAGAAAATAAAGAAAGATTTAAAAAATTCAAAGTCATGCAATAGAAAGAGAACACTGGCAATGAAAATATAAATTATATCATAATATTTGTATAAAAATATCTTTTTGGAATGGAGGAGCAGACAGTTTGTGCAGGAATGTGCAAAATACTGACAAACAAATGTGCAATAATCCTCAGTATTAAGTACAAGGAATATGTGCAATATGCAGAGACTGTATGAGATTGTAACGTGCTGTGTCTGTGGGGAGGTATAAGAGTCTGCTGCAGTCTCTTCCTGGAGGGGAGTGCCTAAAACAGTTTGTGTCCAGGGTAGGAGGGGTCGGCCACAATCTTTCATGCACACCTCAGAGTCCTGGAGGCATAAAGGTCCTGGGACCTGTACTATAAAGCGAGATTTGAGTTTAGCGAGTTAATGACAGGATTTACCCTGGGTTTTCAGTCCTACCACAGTGGTTCACTTCTTTCTAGGTGACATCGCCATGGTAACTTATGCTGAACTCGAGGTCAATGTTATGCTTCATTCTGTGTCTTAGCACTCCATTTTAGCTCCTGTCTCTTTAAGGGCCCCGTCCTTACTGTAGCACTTTTTTTACATAGTCTGGGGGTCTTTAGACACACTGGAGACACATATTTATGTTGAAAAGACATGGAAAAGTGCATTTTGTATAATACGGGGCCTTTAAGTGTGTCTCACCCTCTCTCCTTGGCGTCGATGCTGTGAACCAGTTCGTCTCTCTGGTTGACCAGTGAAACCAGCTCCTGAAGCAGCAGCTGCTCTCTGTGTTTATGGGCCTGAGTCTTCTGCCAGTCTGCACCACAAAGACAACAGAGACAAACAGAGGAACAGAAGTAAGAAGAACTTTCTGGAAAAGAAAAATGGAAAATGATCTAAACACCAGTGTGTAAAATACAAGGAGTGGCAGAGAGTCTCTGTCCTAACAGACGATATGCAGAAACAGAGAAGAACAAGAAGATGGCAAGCTAGACCACATGGATGTAAACCATATTGGATTTAAAATACTTCGACTTCAGCTAAAATCGGCTTAGCAGAGCCGACACGTTTGTTAGACCTCAGGGATAAACAATGCATTTGGTGAGTAACAGTGAATGTCGACAGTAAATATAACTTTCCCCAGGGCTCCACTGATTATTTTTTCTAGTTCAAAGTTGATTTACATGATGAAATAGTGAAAGGTTAGGAGCAGCACGCAAATGGGAAAACGCACAAATTTCTGTCAATAAACACTAAAGTTAACCTCTGTGGCTCTGCTCATGCTCTGCAGATTTGAAAAGCCTAATATAAGCTTTTACCCTACAATATACATAAACCACTCCATGTGCAAAATAAAAGTCTTATTTGTCCAACAGGAAAAATGAAATGAAACCAGTCCCTACTTATATAGATACAGATAGATAGATAGATTGATAGATAGATAGATAGATATTCACTGTGCAAGCTGGAGAACTCTGCTTACTCAGTCAATATGTACGCACTGAGGAATCTATTGCTTCAAATTACTGCATTTACCATCAACACTGACTGGACATCCACATAAAAGGTGGAGTGTCAGTGTGTCATGGACTGCGTTCTGGAGTGTGATTGAAGCAGTATGTTCAGCAATAAAGTCGTACCTTCAAGTGCCATGATGTCCCTCAGCTCTTTGTTTAACAGCTCAAATCTTCTTTCCAAGTCTTGTTCCTCCAGTCTGTCAATCACAAGAGAGGCATTACAAGATGTGTTATTTCTGTGCTTATGGAGGAGAGTTGTCTTATATAGATGGAGTTTTCTCAGTTGTTATGGAGATGGCTCAGCTGTCATCACATGATTGTTTTTCCAATTGTGAATACAGTGCTGTAAATTCTACAGCTTATACTGTACATGTTTCCAGCTGCGTGTGTTGTGGATGTCTTACAGTAGCTGCAGATGGTCCTGCCTCCTGATTAAAGCATTCTTCTTGTTGACCAGCATAAACCATTCCTGAATCAACCTCTCCTCCTCCACCTTGTCACTGCCTGCAGGAGAAAATCACATTACTGTGACTCCTCTGTCAGCTAAAGTCCTTCTCTTTCTTTCCTAAATTGGGATGATGGAGTTGTGGAGTGAATAAAGTAGTCAAAAAGAAACAGCTAACAATAAATTTGGTAACCTATTATTAACTATTACAGTTTTTATATACAGTATATAGGCTTTTGGTTTTGTTTTGGCAGACAAAATTTAAGTGATACATTCCAATAATCCAAAATTAGTCCATAGTGCCTTTAAGTTACATACTATTCCCTGAAAATGGACTCATTTTCTTCCCTCAATTTAATAATTTGTACAATTGAATTACTTTGTTCCCTCAAAATGTATCAATATTAGGAGGATCTTACCTGTTTCCAGTAGTTGTCTGAGCTTCCTCTCCACCACACCTGCTCTGTTATCAACATGGTTTTGTTCTGCTTCCAGGGCTTCCATCTGATTCAGCACATACTGGCTTGGGTCCTGGATAGATTGCCAAACACACACAAACACAAACCCAATTACTATCTAATAATCTATGCTTTGTTATCAGTGGTACAAACATGGAACATGGAACATGCACTGGGTAGGGGGTGGGGACTTCTTTCTCTCTGTACTCTCCATTTCTCTCTCAGTCTCTCACTCACTGAGGAGGACGAGGCGTGAGCAGCTCTCTTCGGCGTCACGTGCATGCCAGGAAACAACATTTGGTGTAGCTGTATTGTTGCCCGGGTGGAAACAGTAGACTTTTACATTGAAGGGCTTATACACAATGTGTAGGGCCAGAAACAGTTTGGGGTAAAATGTGTCAAAAAGTGTGAGAAATATAGGAGAAAAATTACCCCATGAAAATAGTCATTTCGCTGGTTCTGTGATGCACAAAAAAATGTATCTATCATTTTATAGCTGCCTCTTTCACAATGTAAGCTTATGGGAAAAAGGCATCACGTGACAGACCTGGAAGTTGTAATTCCACAGTTGGGTCACTATGTCACTTCCTAGAGGCTTGCTGCCCGGTCACCAATGTCTTTATTTTACATTGTTTTGATGTCAAACTTCCCAGCTAATGCGATACACAGTACACTGGTAATGTAGAACACACACAAAATCAAGTGAACCGACTTGTGAGTCGCAGACAGTTGGTGGTAATGTTACTGGTAGAGTAAAAAACTGGAGTAAAAAAGGCATGTATTTTGAGTAAGTGTGAGATAGTCTAACCATAATGTACTCCTTATAATAAAGAGTGTTAGACAGGCTAACTGACCTGGCCTTCAGGTTTTCCCTCCTCAACCGCAGCCTCTGTTCTCTCTATGAGACAAACAGAAATTAACTGTACCACTTGTATAAATGAAGCAATGCCTAACAACTTTAATTTCATCAATGGAAAAACATTCCAAATCATCGTGTCCAAATACAGCAACAAAAGACAGGGTCAAGTTTTAAAAAGGTGGATATATTAAGTCAGTAGTGAGACTTTTTGACAGCAAAAAATGACTAACCAGTTTCTGACTTCCTCCGGGTAACTTTGTCCTCATGCCCTGCAACAACCTGCAGACAAAAAAGTTCCTCATATAACACGAGAAGTTAAAGAGAAACGGTAATAATAAGTATTTAAAAGGGATAAATGAATAAGGTAGCATACCACTGATATGTCTGTTTCATCTAGCGACCCACTCCTCCGCTGTGACCTACGCTTCTTGACCAGATCAGCATCTTTAACATGAGAGAAACCTGACTTGGACAGGAAATGAGTCCTTGGTGGTGCCACTGGTAATTGAGTCCCACCTGCCCCAGCAATCTGCTGTCGTTTGATTCTGGGAGGTGGAACCACATCCTTACTGGATTTACTGTCCTTCTCTCCTGTGCCAGCAGTCCCATTAGTCTCAAGACTTATACCCTCCTCCTGGAGCCTCTGGGCACAGTAGCGAACCGTTGCCTCGGGGTCCTCTTGGCTCTCCCTGTCCCTGGCTACTGCATAGCTGGACTCGCTGCTATCCTTCTCTATGTGAAGCACACTGAGCTGCTGGCCTGTGAAATGGGTGCGGATCTGGTTGAGGTAAGTCATGACAATGAGGCGGTCAGGCACTGCTAACATGACCATGTCTGAAGGCTCCATTAGTCTGGAAATGCCAAGTTCAGCAAAGCCATCAAAGGCCTGCAGTTTGTAGAAACACAGATGGAGGGATCAGATTAGGATTTATCAACCAACACATGAAAAATGTACAACTGATTTAGTTTATCACCTTCTTGTTGTTGCGCTTGATGTCATACGGGTCCAGCATTTCAAAATTACTACACACAAAAAAAGAAGACAAAATGAACACATAAAACAAACTTTTTATCTGTAGATCAAATATCAACTTTTTCTTACATCTTTTCTGGGTAGAAGTGATGTAAGATGGCACAAAAAGCGAGGCCGTTCCTCCAGGAGGTGCTGAAGTTGGTGATCTTCACTCCCTTGTGACCCTGTGTGACTTCCTGACACCATTCCAGTAGAGACTGACTGGATGTCACCAACATGGGACTGGCCAAAAGGCTCTATAACACACACAAAAACAATATTGAGGAATGATTTTAATATTAATATTATAAGATCACATTTAAGACAATGTGATCCAGGAACCTCCCTGAGCTATGAAGTGAGTCAGAGCTTGTAACTGAATAAAGACCATTATTAAATGGATTTTCTTGCCATTTTAGTCATAGAGGAATAACAGAAGCATAATACATTTGACATATGAAATATGTTTACTTAACAAACATGTAGCATTGTTGCCAATTAACAGATCTGGCAGACACAGAGCAATATTAGCATTGAGTTGTGTTTCTGTCAACCTGATTAATGTCTAATCTACACTTTCTTCACCAGCTAGACTCTAACTGACTGATTGCTGATTGGTGTTGGGCAAGTAGACAGTGGGTTTATCAGCACATTTCTGAAAATTGCTGCTTGCTGCTGCTGGAAATGAAGTTGATAATAACGGAGTTTGCAGGTCAGAAAACCAGAACCAACAAGGATCTCCTTGAAGCTGAGGGTAACTGCGAAGTTGGTGATCATTTTCTGAGTTTCAAAGCAAAATCTTGCACATTACAAATAGTCATTTGATTAATTGTTAATATATAAACATTAATAAGTGCAGCTTTGGCATACTTCCGGAGAGGCAGCCCCATCTGCAGGTATTTTCTGAGGTGTTGCTGGTTCACTGGCTTGGTGGAAGCCAGCAACTTGTGACTTGGTGTCGTCTAGGTAAGAACCACTCAAACGCTTCTTGCCACAAAGCCCAGGTACAGGCTGACCTGAAGATTCTTCTCCTCTCTCCATTTGTCTGGAAAGACACACAAAACAATGCAAAGTGAGTAATACATTCCACAACTGATTTGAAAACAATGTTTGTCACAAACAATAGGGCTGGGCAAAAAAACAATGATGATAATTATCGCAATATAATTTTCCTCAATGACAATATAATAAATGTTCAATATATCGTCAATAAATATCTGGTTTAATTAATTTGAATCACGAACAAATTAACACTTAATTTTTCTATTAAAATATTTATTTTGTTGAGGAAATCATATTTGTTGAAAAAGATTTGATCAAAATAGTTTTTAATGTTCTACCTCAGATTTGTTAAGTGATCCCGTGTTTGTCACATTCTGAGCATCCAGAAAAGTTTAACCACATAATTAACCATCTGGTTTCTTCAATTTTCACTCAGGAGCAAAAATCAGCCTTTAAACGTGAAAGAAATAACGATTTGACATTTACCATGATAATTATCGATATCGAATGATATGAAATGTTTTTATCGTGGTAACATTTTTGGCCGTATCGCCCAGCCCTACAAACAACAAAACACTGGTAATTGATGACTTTGCAAACAATGTTGCTAATGAAACCTATATATCTATATGAAACATACACAGACCATATTAGATCATTAGAAAATACATGGAAATTAGAATTTCTATTGTGTGGAGAGAGGGATACGTCAAAACACACACATATATCTTAGTAATGAGTGCACCACCCCCACACCCTAACGTGTACAGATTCATCTTACCTTCCTTCCTCTAAACAACCAGCAACTACATCTACAGACACAAAGCCAAAGTCCAACTCTTCGTCCCTCACTTCCTTCCTTGAGTTTATTTCCATTGGTTCACTGGCTTTATCATCCTCAACATGTAGCCAGTCATCCTGAGAAGATGCAACAGTGGAAGCAGCAACCTGGACTTTTTCAATGTCAGCCTGCTCCGACACTGCCTCTGCAGCCTGCTCTGGGTCATCTGTAACAACAGGTTTATCTGTAAAGGTCCAGCCTCCAATAATTTCATCCAGTGCCTTCTCAGCATCTTCCACAGAGTCAGCCTGAGGAAATTCTTCCTCTCCCATTGCTGCTAGCACTTCCCGTTCCAACTCTGACTCGCCATCATCTTCTCCTTGGATTGTGACAAAACCTCCTTCAGAGATCACACTTGAATCCAGCGATGTTGAGTCTTTCTTTGTTTCTTGTTCTTTGATATTGACAGATTTATCCTCTGGTTTTGTCTGAGAGAATTCCATTTCTTGGGGGCATAAATTGTCTACAGGTGGTGTGCTGTCTGAATAAGTCGCACTGAGACGTTTTTTGGCCCGGGGCAACGGAACAGGAAAGCTTGACTTTTCATTCTGTTGAACAGATTCATGACCAGTGGTGTCAGTTACTGCGTCTGGCAGGCAAGGAGGTGGTGAACCAGAAATTGTAATGTCATGTGGGAATGAACCACTGAGACGTTTCTTTACTCTTGGTTTTGGTACAGGAACTCTTGAAGCTTGTAGTGTCTTCTCTGAAACATCACCATCCTTTACTTGAACACTGCCCTCACTGGCTAATCTGCTTCTCGTCAACTTTAGAGGACCCACTTCTTCTGCAGATATTTCAAGCTGATCACCCAGAGAAAGAGGGGGAAAGTCCTTTCTGTCTTGCACCTTTGACAATTCTTTAGTTGTTAAGGAAATGGATGAAGGACCACCTTGCCCCGCTGACTGTGCCTCTTCACCGTAGGAAGCTTTAGATGTGCTGAGACGTATCTTCACACGAGGTCTTGAGATACAAAGCGTTGTTTGTTTTTCCTTCTCTGCCTCTGTTATCTCTGATGCATCCTCTAATTTCTGAGAAGACGTGATGTCAACCGTATCAACAGACGTTTCACCCACTGAATTCGACTGCTTTATTTCTTCCACATCACCCATGACAGTGTTCTCGATTTGACTGGTTTCAACTGGTTTTACTGACTCTTTGTTTGCAACATTTAAGATCTGTGCCATAATTTCCTCACCACTGGCAATTTTGCGAGATTTGCTTGAAGGCAATATTTTGTCACGTTGTGGAAGACGTATCTTCTTGATGATTGAGAGAGAAGCAGTTTGCTCAGAATGAAATGTCTCTGGTTCTGGCTTTGGGGTGATGCTCTCAATTTCCTTTGTTTCTGAGGAAGGAATTATGTAAGGAGAGGCCTTGACAGATGTATTAATATCTTTCTTGGGCCATTCTGGGCTACAAGAGTTTTTTTCTGAGTCCTTAGAGCAGACCAATTCTGTGTCTGCCAGTAGAGCTGCACTCCCAACAAAATCAATTTGTTGAGAGTGTTTTTTGGTTGTTTGGTCTATTCTTCCTACAGGTTGTGATGGGATCATTCCAGTGGCTGTTTGACAGGGTGTATCAATGCTCTGTACAGGTTCAAGAGCACCAGAGACCACAGAATTTCTCTCAAAAGGTTGAGGAGGAACAGGATCAGATGTTTTCGTGGTAGAACAGACATGGGCTTTCAAATTCTGTTTGTCATTAGTTTTTGGAACACATGTCTCTCTAGTAGCACTGACTTTTCTCCTCAAAGGCTTGCAAGGGACAGTTTTCTGAGGAGTTTCATGCGGCAAACTATCATCTCTTCTTTTCACACGAGGAGGAGGGACAACATTCATGGATTGGCTTTTTTGTCTATGGTCACCACGTTTTATGCTGCAAGATGGGTCAGTGGCAGGTTGTGTGGGAACTATCTCACCAGTAGCATCTTTCCTAAAAGACTGGACTGAACCATCAGATTCAGGTGTTAAACTATCCTTCCTTCTGAGTGGCCGTAACGGAACAGTGTCTTTTTCTTGCTGACACCCTTTCTGCTGAGGTTCTGGAACTTTTCTCTTGGGCTTTCTGCCTCGCTGAGGGACGGCAACGTCAGCTTGTGGTCCAACTGGACTAATGTCCTCCGATGGTTTGTCCATGAGTATCTCACTATGTACACTGGCATTTGTCAGTGACTCATTTAATGTAGGCTGTAGGGAAGTGGCAGGCATTTCTTCCTGGCTTGTTTGTTGGGGGCTTAAGGAAAAGAAAGGACAAGCTTCAGAATTTGCTGTTTTTTACTTTGTCATTTAGTTGCACCATGCACCCTATACCCAACCAACTATTAATCTGCTCAACCAAAAAGACAGCAACCAAATCTAACACATTATAAAAACAAAACCTGACCTTCGTTTCCAATATTCTGCTTTACCTTTGTGCATGCACACTGTCATTGAAATGACACAGCAGCACATGAAGGACACAAAGACAAAGTTAGCCTCAGTTTACAACACCTACGTAAGACACTACAAAAATGGCAATATTACCATTCCACATCACAATGCCAATCCTTACAGCTATAACAAATAGTTTGCCATCCCAACTTCCTGAGTTGTAAGCGCTCATAAGCACAACAAGAGACAATGTTATCACCAAAAATACAGAACATGTACACTGTCACACCGTGCAACCAAACACTTCCCCCAGCACTCACCCTTTATCCAGCTGTGAAGAAGATGACACTGTTCTAACCTCATCTTGTTCTGTCTCAGTCTGGTGCCTTGCTAACAAATATTCAACGTACACTGAAGTTTGAACAGAGTCCTGCCCAGTGAATGATCTCTCCTTTGAATGGCACTGATCAAGAGCAGTCTCTTGTTCCTCTACTATTTCACTGTCTTCTTTTGATATTTCATTGATATCTGCCTCGGTCAATGGTGGCCATTTCTTCATACTTGCACAAACCAAAAACCCATTATCACTGTCGGTAGTTGGTGATGGAGATGCTGATTGATCACCTACCAAGTCCACCATGTAAGGCTCAGCACTTGTTGGATATTCAATATTATGTTCAAACTGGCCCTCTATCTGTTGCATCAGAGAGCTGTTGTCAGTAAAATGTGGAAATAACTCATCGGAAGGGGTCAGTGTCTTGTCTTTCAGATCCACAGAAGAGACAACCTTGGGTTGGTGATCCACTTCAGCTAAAGGTGAGCTAGATGGCCCCAAAATGGATGCTACTGTTTCATAACTGTGAGACACGGATACTGGAATGAGTGCATGAAACATGGAGCCATGCAAAAACAATGATTTCAATAAACATGGAGTTTATTCTCAAAACCAGTGAGTATTAGAAAAACTAAAATCTGTGTTAGAAAATAGAATGTAATATAATATATAAATGTATGATAAAGTGGCAAAATCACAGTTTGCATTTAGGCTTACCAATAATCGATGCACACTACGTTGCATGTTTCACACTATTAGTTTCAGATCAGTGTTACACTTACCCTTTGTGGAAAACACCCACAATAGCTTTTACTAATCCCGAGCTCCCTTCCTCTTTTGCTGACACAGTGGATTCTGCCTGTTTTTCTGTTATTGTTCCCTCTGCCTCCAATACTTCCCAACCCAAGACCGCTGCTGGCTCTGATGTGTCCAATAGCTTCTTCATTATTTGGGCTCCCTCTGCTGTTACCCTCTCTATTTGTGATTTGCTGAGGAGCCAAATATAAATGATTTGAAGGCATGATCCACATAACTCATGCAGGAGTACCATAAAAAATTTAATGAAATCCATAAAGAGATGCTGAAATTTAACATGCGCTGTATTGTCAAGTTACTAAAACTACCATTTATTTGTCATGCTATTTAACAGTCCATGTTAAGCAAGCACTAAACTGGACTCTTTCACAGCAAACAATGCAAGAGCACTGGGCTCTTCCACTTACCTGTTATCTACAACAAGGTCTATATTTTGCTTTGCATCGCCTTTGAATTTCTCCTCTGTCATAAAAGCAAGTAAAGCAAGTAAAACACACAAAAAGAAACAAGACAAAGTAAGGTGAATATGACCTCGATCTTAACACTGTAAATGTCTCACCAAATGCAAGTGCTGTGCTGGGGCTGTTAAAAGATCTGGAGGGAACATCAGGAATTATTGTATCTTTGAGATGTGACTGAGTTGACTGTGCATGAGGCAATTCTTGTGATGTATGTTTCTCAGTAGAAGAAGGAAGTAGAACAGGCGTTGTTTCTTTCTCTGTTGGATTCAATTCTGAAATTCTGGGGAACCCAAAAATCCGAGTCAAATTTGGACATGATGGAGTTAGTGCTACCATGTACTTCATTTCATCTTGTGCATGATTATGTTTCACTGGAAGCTTTGCAAAAAGAAAAATCTTCTCATTGTGCACCTCCTGAAACTGGATCTTGCTGTGTGTTGTCCTAGTTTGTATATTTATACATTCAGAGCTTAGCATCCTTGCTGATGGAAAACCAGGAACAGATGAAACACATGGAGCAGATGCGTATAAGCTGACCATGTTTGGTTGTCTGTTTGCAACTTGAGCAGAAGGAAAGCCATGTACTCTGGCCTCTTTTGGGCAGGATGTAACTAATGTCAGCATGCTTTTCATTTTGTAACAATATAGCTGGTCCTGTCCAGCAAATTTCAAAGTCATTTCTGCCCTCTTCTCCTGAGGCTTTATCAAAATGGGCTTTGTTTCATTTAGCCACTCTGTGCTTGGGACTGTAGTCATGGATGCAAATCCTTTGAGACTTGAAGTACTGGAGAAACAATGTACAAAATTGATTATACTGGGTTGAATCTTGGATTTAGTTTGAGGTGCAGAGGGGAACCCAGGGATCCTGGATACTTCTGGGCAAGATGGTGCTAAAGCCAACATTGTCTTCACAGTTTCTTTGTCTGGATTTGGACTGGATATCACTAAAAGTGTCTCCTTTGATGGCTGATCACACAAAGTGTGTGGATCAAAAAGCCATTGGAATTTTGAGCCCCCTTCAATGGATGCAAATCCAGGCAAACTGGATACTTTGGGGCAAACATGTCTAAGACTCAGCATATTGAATCGGGGGACCGAAGGGAAGCCTGAAATCTTTGATGCTCCTGGGCAAGAAGGGCCCAAAGCAATCATGCTGTTTGGTTTGTCTATGGTGATTGGTGAGCTGTTAATTCTAAACAGAATGGTCTTTTGCGTTCTGTGCATCAGTGGACCCAGTTCAGCAACCCATCCGTGTTCCTTGTGCCTTTCAACTGATGAAAATCCCGGTATGATAGAAACTAGGGGGCACAAAGGGAGGAGGCTGACTACATTTAGGCTGTAAAACACTATTTTGGGACTTGGAATAGATGGGAAACCAGGCATGCTTGACACTTTAGGACAGGATGGTACACAGGAAACCATATTCTTCATCATCTCTCTGTTGTCATTCGATGTGTTAAATATGACCCCCTTCTTTGGAAGCCTCTTCAGTAATGACCCCTTTTCTGTTAACCATCCTACATCCATATCACCATCAACTGATGGGAATCCAGGTATTTTCGAAACTTGGGAGCACAATGTTAACAGGCTGATCATATTTTGTGCACAATGCACAGTTCGGGGATTTGGATGAGAAGGAAATTCCGACATCAGTGCCACTTTTGGACAGGAAGGTACAAGGGAAACCATTGCTTTCATTGCTGTCTTATCTCTTTCACACCTGTCAATCAGTGGCACCTGCTTTTCTTTCATTATTGGTTCAAACACTGGCTCCCTGCTCATTTTCCACTCTTCTGAAAATGATGGAAATCCTGGTATCTGTGATACTTTTGAGCAAGAGGTTGCAAGACTGACCATATTTGGCATATCAACAACAATAATCACTCTGGGTTTAGGTGCAGAGGGAAAACCAGAGATGAGTGATTCTCTTGGGCAACTCTGTACAAGGGAAACAACTCCCTTCATGTATTTGTCCATTTTATTGTTCTCAATTAGTAATACAGGCTCCTTTTTCATTTGCTTCTCCCATAATGCCTGATGAACAGTGTTCCAGTCTTTGCTATCTTCTTTCTGCATCGAAGGAAAGCCAGCCATAGTGGAGGCAGCCGGACAAGATGGAAGGAGACTGACCCTACTAAACCCATCATAGATTACAGTAGGTTCCAGAGCAGATGGAAATCCAGGGATGCAAGCTTCTTTTGGACATGTTGGGACTAAAGCTGACATGGCCTTCATATCATCATTGTGAGGTATATCTTCAATCATGATTGTGCCAATTTTTGGCAGAGTTACCTCTAAGGGTTTGTAATCTGTAGCCCAGCTTTTGCTTAAATGTTCCATTAATGATGGAATACCTTCCATACAAGATGTTTTGGGGCAGGAGCTTATAAGGCTCATCATATCTGATCCATCATGTGTTATAGTAGGTTGTGGCATTGAAGGCATTCCGTGTATGCAAGAATGTTTTGGGCAAGTTGGTACCAAAGCTCCCATTAGTTTAATTTCATCCTTGTCTTTTGGTGACATTGTCGTGACAACAAATTCAGTTTTCATTTTCTTCTCCAGAAGTAGTTCCTGTTGAGATACCCATGATCTGTTATTGGCTTCACTGATAGATAGTGAACCTGGTATATTGGATAAACTTGGACAACTAGGATAAATATCTACCATATTTGGTCCATAAAAAACTAAACTATGTTGTTGTACAGATGGAAACCCTGGATTTCTGGCTTCTCTGGGGCAAGACGGTCCCAGTAAAACCATTTCTTTGTTGTTCTTTTCATCATCCTTTGATGCATAGTGTGGAGATATGTCCTTCATTTTTGACTGTTTCTCCCAGACTGGCTTTTGATCTATAAGCCAGTGTTTTCCTTCTTTTACGGGAAATTTGGACGGTATGCCAGCAATGTTTGTCATACTGGGACAGGTGTCCAAGAAAGTAGACTGTTTGTACATAAGTTCAGGCTTCACATAATATGGCACAGATTGTACACAAGGGCAGGGAGACTTTTTATCCGCCATTTGTTCTATGAGATCAGCATGTCCTTTTAAAGTTAGTGCGCCCTCAGTGGTTATAGTTCCATTGTCCTTTGATGGTTTATCCGAAGTACACTTGCTGTCTAGTAGGCCTTCATTTGATTGTTTATCATTAGCAGTTAATTCAAATATCCTGCTAAATGTTGGGAATATTGGCAGCAGATCCCCCATCCCATCTTCTGTATCTGTCTTAATTTCATCATCAGTGTCTAATTTCATGGAAGGTAGATTTGTGATCATGGCAGCACCACTGAACGATGGAACAATACTGACCATTTCTTTTGTTATTTCCATTTCTTCCTCTGATGCGTTTCTAGTTACCCCTGCAGTCACTTTTGGTAGCTCCTCCCATAGTATGGTCTTGTCTGTAGGTAATTTTACTGTAGTTGCCTTTGGTAGCTCCTCCCATTGTATGGTCCTGTTCGTACAATGTTTCTCCAACTGTAGCTCAGCATTATTTATTTGGGTTTGGGATGGGAGTTCTGCTGCACCAATAACAATTGGGGATGATGGCTGTAGTGAAACCTTGTTTTCATGTCTAAAGAGAAAGTACATACAATGCAATAAGTTTACTGTTGAAAGTTGCAAAGAACAATAATAATGAATAAGAGCATTCCCATTACCAACACTGTAAATCTACATATTTTTTTCACAATACAATGCATGTATGGTACAGCGTACCTCAGTCAATCTGTGCTAAACAGTAGAATTCCAACTAATTTACATATGATTGCAAAGTTGATAATAAAACTGCATATTACTACTTGTTATCATTTTAAAATAGGTCTTTTACTCTCATGCATGCAATTTCAAAATGCTATTCACTCCAAATTTGCTCCAGCTTGTATTAAAACAATTACTACAGAGGTACAAAGCCTCACTCCTGCAAACAAAACATCATGCCACAGCATTTCCTTAGGTTAATTCTACAACTACTGTAGTAGCTAACACCAGCTATATTAGTGTTGGGCGATAGAAATACTTTAAATTGTTCTACAAAAGTATTTACTATATTCATCTAATACTCAGATTCGTACAACATATATATGAAAGCACTGTAGAAGTACTGAACCAGCACCACCACCACAGAATGTGGCGGGGTAGGGGTGGAGGAGATGTATCCTTATTAGCTAGTAGCATGGGATCACTGGAGTTGTTTACCACTGTTGCCTTCATTGCAGTCAGCTTCACCCGGTTAAGATTCCTTCAGTGTTAATCGAATTAACTACAGCGGTCTCCTCCTCTTCAAAACAAAAGGACCAGGTGAATAAAACTGGTAAAAACACTGAATAAAACAGTGTCATGTTTAAAAATCACTGTTTCTCTGATGCTATGAGGAGACAAAGGATTTTTCCAGGGGGGCTGTGAGCTGAGCTTGCTGATGACATTTGCTCAGATTGTATCTCTGATAACTTCTATAAGTTCAGAAGGTTTTCACCAAGCAGTTTCATACTAAAAATCTTTGTTTCTCCAACGGACGCTGAGCCATATCTGCTGTTAACGTTTGCTGAGCTTGTTTCTCTGATAAATTAAAGTGCTTCATCATTAACCTTCATCGGTAACAATATATAGTTAAAAACAACCAAGATCTAAAAAGTGCATCGTAAAAATGTGGCTTAGCACTGGATAAACTAGTCAGTTTATGACAGCTTCTTGCAGACAATCACAACACTTGTCACTATCCATGACTTCAGATGTTTTTTCTGTTTCCCATTTGTTCCCTCTTTGTGGGACCTGTACCACGAAGCAAGTTCAACAAACCCAGGATATCTTTTTGTCATGTGGCTTTCCTAACCCTAACAATGGCGATCGGAATAAGCAGTCACACAAAGCTGGTTATCAACTCGGTATGTCAACACAGGGTTTCCCAATCCAGCTATAAACGCGTTCACATAAAAGAGGCGGTGTTAGCAGCAGATGCCCAATCGCAAACAAGACTGCTGGCAGCAGAGCATCATATTTTACATACGAAGAGCAAACTGTAATATAAGACAAATGGACATAGGCCTAGTGAAGTAACAGTGCTGCAGCTAACACATGCAGGAAGCCAACAGTGTGAATACCTAAGTAAACAGGCGTAGCCTATAATATGAATGTGTTGATTTAATGTGTTCTTATGGAGTGTATGACAACTTTAGACTTATTCTTTCAGCTAGGCTATGTGTCGGAGTTTATACATTAATAGCCATGGGCATTCAATAAGTGGTCGTTCCAACTCACTTTTCAGAAAATCTCGTAGCTTCAAAAATCTGCTCTGGAGCAGGTTAGCTGTTCAGCATAAGCAATCTGAACCAATAAGAAGTGAACCACCATCACCGTACGGTACTGAAACCCAGGGTTAACCCCAAAGTTTTCTTGCTGAGCTCAAATCCTGCTTTGTGGTACAGTGGCCTGTACTACGAAGCGTAACTTTGTCACATTGGGTGTAACTTCCTGATTAACCCGTACTACGAAAGGTGGATAGGTTTTACCCGAGGTCTGTTGTCATGGCAATTTACGCTGTATCTCTAAACTGCTCCGAGCAGGTTATCTTCAAAGTTAACTCAATGTTACCCTATATATGTGGACTACACACCACATTTATACTCAGTGTTAATGAGAACTATTAATACACACCACTTGATAAAATAATTATAGATTTCATCCTGACTTGTTCCACTGCTCTTGCAGTTGAAATTAAGTTATTCTTAACACAACAGCATAACACGTATACAGCGAGCCCGAGGGGAGGCAAGCATTGCAGTCTCAGTGATTTAGGGAGGAGATCTTAATTAAATGAACGGGCAAATTTCTGAGATGTAGCCCATCTGTAAGGGCTAATTGAATATACTTTTTTAGTTTGACGATATTAAGTGTCCAAAAACTACGGGTCAGAGTGAGGGTTAATAACCTCAAAAATGTTTCATATTATTATAAAGTTATTCATCAAATCTATCAAATATTTCTTTAATAATTAGTGTTTCTGCTGTTGCCTGACTCCTAAACACAGATTTGAGGGTTCTTTGTTGCTTTTTATTTCTCTATCTCTATCTCTTTGTTTTGGAAGCCCATTTTGCCTAGAATGGCTAGCACTACAATCTGACTATGAACAGCAAGAAACTAAGCATACCTCAAGAGGAAATTATAAAATAAAATCATGCAACACACAAACCGAGCACAGGTATCAGCCTCTCTCACACTTACCCATTACCAGAGTATCTAACAAACCCTTGATCCACTGTGTCATAATGTGTAGTAATGACGTCCGCTGACTCTACGGGCATGACAACACAACCCTCCAAAGTGACACCAGTCTCTGCGTCTTTGCCAACAGTATCTCCCTTCTCATGTAATGATATCTGTGTTTCTTGAGTATGCTTTTGACACCTGGCGCTGCAACAATGACAAGTAACAAGAGAGGGGGGAAAAATCTGGGGAACCACAGAATAACTCCAAGCTACACAATGTATGACACACGCAGCAAATGCAAATTTTGCCATAAATGAGTCAATAACATGGTGTTGAGATAAAGCAAACGCATTAATCATTATCATCATTGTGACATTTCAGGAATGGAGTGCCACATTCTGCAGTGCACGTTTCTGAAAACAGAATTGAAAAGTACGTGTTTCAAAAACTAACCCCAAACATCACAGAGATAACTCCAACAACAACATTGAAACTCACCCTTTGTCTAGAACGGCAATTTCTTCGACCTCAATCGGTATCCAAAAGCCCTGTTCGTTTTTATGCCTCTCCAAAGGTGAGCACACATCAGATTTTGTTTTCTTTGTGTCAAGATCAAGTCTTGCTGGACTGGCCGCATCACATAACATCTCAATTCCATTAACTCTAGAGGATGGCTTCTCCACTTGAATATCAGAATTCGATGATGGTAAGTCTTTGACAATGGCCTCAACAGGACAGGATGATGAAGTAATTGTCATTCTTTGTTGTACATCGTCTAGTACATCTTGGCTAGGGAATATAAACTGCATGGATCGCTCTCTGACAGAAACCTTACAAAAGGAATGCTTTTCCAGTAACAGCGGTTGACTCATCAAGTTTTCTCTTTCCTTTCCAATTATTCTTGTTCGTGACTTCACCAACAGTGGTATTATAACTGGCCACCCCTGTCCTGAATGGTGCACATGTGATGATGGTATCCCGAGAAAAGAAGCTTTCTTTGGGCAAGATGGCATAATATTTACCATGTTTAGAAGACTGTCTACGTCTTCTAGTGGATCTGCTGTGAAGCCAGAACTAAGAGCAATGTTTAGACAAGAAGGTTCAAGAGAAAGTATTGTCTTCATTATATCTTTGTGAGGAGAATCATACTTTTTGTAAAATGGATCGCAGCCTTGCATGGTTATCATCATCAGAGGCCAGCCCCCTCCTTTTGAATCAGAAATACTTGACACTCTTGAGGGGAAACCAACAATACTTGACTGTCTTGGGCAACATGGCAGCAACTGTGCCATGTCTGGATTTTTTTCCACAACGGCTTTGGGTTGTTGAGTGGATGGAAATCCAGGGTTCAGGACTTGTCGTGGACATGATTGAAGCATACTCAACATTAATTCTGTGTCCCTATATACCATTTCCTTAACTGTTAAATCTTGGTGAGCAACTCCATACCTTCTATTAAAAGGCTTTTCCCAAATTGCATCCCTGTCCACATACCAACCATCATATTCATTTGCACTATTCTTTGCAGGTAGACCTAGAATTTTACAATGGTTTGGGAAAGTAGTTAAGGATTTTAACATGCTAGGAGCATTTTCCATCAAAGCTTCTACTGGTCTGTCTCCAACCTTAGAGGGAATTCCAGCAATATATGAGTGTTTGGGACAAGGTGGCAACATTGATAACATAATTCTCACCACTGCCTTTTCTCTAAAATACATGTTATGATCATGTATTACAGATAGTCTTTCTGGGTTTATTGATGGCTTTTCCCATATTGTCCTTTTGTCTACACTCCACTCTGCTTGATCAGACTCACTGTAGAATCTAGAGGGTATTCCACAAACTGTGGAACGTCTTGGACAAGTAGGCAGCAAATTTATAATACTTGGTATATCTACCAACACCTTGCATGGTACTGATGGAAAGCCTGGTAAACACGTTGTCCGAGAGCAAGAGGGCAATATCGATACCATATTTGTGACGATATCACAATCAATATATAACATATTAGCATCCTGTGAATGTAAAACAACTGCAGACTTCTCCCTAGGAAGAAGCAACACATTTCTTTCCATTAGCCAATCTAATTGTTTGGCGGTGTTTCTAAGTGGCATTCCGGGAACTCTGGAATCCTTTGTACAACCAGGCAATAAATTCACCATAGTTTGGCCATCAGCTAATGTCTGTGTCAGAGCAGAGGAAAACCCAGGTACACTAGCATTCTCGGGACAGGAGGGAAATATTGCAATCATACTTTCAGCCGTGTTTTGGTCAAAAAATGAAACTGCATTTAGAATCTGCACTTCCCTTTTAATAAATGCACTCTCCCACTCCCAACTTTTATAAGCAAACCATTCTTTGCAGCTGGACAAACAAAGATTTTGTCCAGCCTTTGAAGGCAAACCAGGGACTCCACTATGTTTGGGGCATGAGGGCATTGCATTAACCATACTGGGTTCTTGTCTTGGAGCAGATGGTAAACCAAAAACTTTGTTTTCTTGTGGGCAACTTATCAACATATCTACCATATCTTTAAGGATTTCTCTGTCTTCAGGCATCCACTGAACAATGTAATCTTGTGTTTTCTTCTCTGGACTTTTGTTAATTAATTGCCTCAAGGCATGCCAATCTTTGTTCTCTGAATTGGTTTGATCTCGACATGCCAAACCAGGAGTCTGGGTCTGTTTGGGGCATATAGGTACAATACTAACAATACTCTGTAACAGCTCCTGGGGTCCTGTGGGGATTCCCACAAGGCAAGTTCTCAAGGGACATGAGGGCAACATTGTCACAGAACTGATCATTTGTCTTATGTCCAGATCTTGAGCAGCTCCATGGGAAATATCTTGAATCAAGACTTCACTTTTTCTCAAGGACTTCTCCATCAAAATATGCCTGCCTATGTCCAAATCTTCACACTGAGCAGTAACTGGCTGCTTAGATGGTAAACCAATGACTCTGGTTTGTCTTGGGCAAGTAGGCAAAAAATCTGCCATGCTGGGATCTTGGCTTGGTGCAAATGAAACACCAGGCACACTAAGGTCTTTTTGTGGCACAGAAGGAAAACTACGAATGGTTGCCTTACTGGGACAAGATGGTAAAATATGTCCAACATGTTCATTATTTTCATGTAACTTTTCCTGAACCAGAATATTACTTGTCAATGGTCTCTCTAAAATGTTTTCCCTCAAATTATGCAAGCTGTCATTATATTCCATTACTCTTTGTCTAAATGGCATACCAGAAGTCTGTTTGGGGCATGTAGGGAGAAGACTGGCCATACTTGGGTTTTTTGAAGCCCTCTGCAATGGCGCTGAAGGAAACCCTGAGACACTAGCCTTTCTGGAACATGTTGGCAACATAGCCACCATGACTTTAATCATACTTGTATCGCTGACAGCTAGTTCCTGAACACAAGACGTGTGTGAAAGAAATGCTTCTTTTATCTGCATCTGTTTCTTCCACAGTGAACACCTGTCCCAAACACTCTGTTCATATCGAGACATTGATCCAGCAGAAGCTAATCCTGGAATCCTGCAAATTCTGGGACATGTAGGTAAAAGGTGAGTCATATTTGGCTCACATGTCAAAGCAGATGGGAATCCAGGAATACCGGCAGACCTGGAGCAGGATGGTTTTAAGTCCACCATTTTTGCAATTCCTGCACTACCATTATAAACAGAACTAACATAATCTGAATACATGAGTACTGGTGATCTGTTGTGGGTCAACTTCTGAAACAATAACCTCTTATCATTAGGCCAAGCTATAACTTTTGACTGATGTAAAGATGGCATGCCAGGAATCTTGGAATACTGTGGGCAAATTGATAACTTAATCATACTTGGCACCCCCACTGTTCCTTCAATCTGAGCTTCAGGCTGGAAAGCAGATTGTAAATGAAAAATAGAACTCTCTCTTGGACATAATGGACCAAGTTCCACCTTAGATATGTACACACAGTTTTCATCTATACTGACTGCATTGCTTGGTAACAAAAGGTCATGTGTATCTCTCCTATCACTTTCACACAGTGGTCTCTTCGTCATAGCCCAACTCAAACTTTCAGTTTTCCCTTTCCCCATACAATGTTCTGGGTCCAAACTATCCACAAAGCTTTTTGTGGAAGATGATACAACATTCACTTTAGATTCTTCTCTCTGCCTTGATAAACTGGTTGTTGTGGCCTGCTGTGCTGAGAAAAACTCAGAATGAGAGTCCAATCTTGAAGTGACTTGGTCCGAAGCAGTCGTGTTGCATATTGTTTTATCTCTAATGAGTATTGGAACAGCAGGGCTGATTTTTTGAGTGTCTCTTTGTGGCTTTTCCAACTTCGAGATTTTTGCAATGGACCATTCTTGAGACTCAGCTGTAGGTGTTTTGTTCATCACAATTGGAGAGAAAGCAGAATTGACGTCTATGAGACAAGATGACACTGAGGCCGCAGTGTTCTCATTTCTGAAGGAATAGAGTACACCAAAGGTTGATGTCAGAACACTGAAGTGATTTAGAAAGCTGTTAAAAATGTTGCGAAATAGACAGTATTTCTCTTTAATCATGTATTTGATTTACATTTGCATCGCAAATGTTATCATTGTTCTTAAATGTATTTTCAAGACTATAGAATGGTAATTTACCTGACAGAGCGCCACACTACACTTACCCCAAATCCATAGTTCTAACTTCTTTATTCTGGGCCACTCCTATCCTTCCAATCGGTTTTGTGTCAGAGGTTGCAGAAATTTGAGGCAAGTGCAACAAAGGCTCCTGGAGTAATATGGAAGTAGGTTGTGGGTCGGGAGAAAGGGGTGTAATTCGATCAGCCTCTGGTTGGGCTATTGGATTCCCTAACTGAATGGACATCTTGGACAAGTGACTTCTTGGATTAACCAGAATGTCCTTAACTGAAGCAGATGTATGATCTTGAAAATGAGGGTTTTGCTTAGGTGCAGAATTGAAGGGAATAAGTGCTGGCTGGACGTTAGGGAATGTCCTTGTTGGCCTTGATCCTGTCTGATCCATCTGTGTTTTTGGCATCTCAAAATATTTTAGCCCTGGGGATATGGGTGTTCTCGAGCTAAGGGGCAGAAGTGAGGCCATGCTCTCAGGTCTGAGGGACAAACAAATGAAGATCAGAGTTATGACGTTATGATGTAAGGAAAGTCTCCATCGCAGTAATGCAGTCCATATCCAGGCCATATTCACAGATTTCCACAGAACAGCCCACAAGCAAATGAGCAATGTGATGTGAAACTACAAAAATGATACATGGCAAAACTGTATAACAAGAGATTCAAACCAGACTGTCACCAAGCAAACAAGTGTTTTGTTATAAATCATGGAGAAAATGACCAGGCCAAGCAGCAGCAGCATTTTAAAAGAATTCATTGAACGCTGGTACCTCAGGCACTTGCTACATCCAAATGACTTTTACTAAGTTGCTTTTGTGTAAATTCCAAGGCAAAAAGAATCCTTTATAAAATCCCATATGCTAAGCAATTTCACACACAGCTGAACAAGCAGAGTGATAACAAATGTTTTTCAGTGCTTAAAACATCACCAATAGATTAAAAGCAATAGAAGCTGCTCGACAGTGGTTATAAAGATTTTTGATATCTATATTACATTTCTGTATCTGTAGTCAGCAAACTTGGAATTTCTTAATTTTCAAGGCAAGGCCACTTGGCCTTTGATGAAGAATGATTTTATTTTTATTCTATTTTTTTTTCTATTTTTTTGCACACTCCCTCTCTCTTGCTCATCTACATGAGCTCTCTCACTTGACGAGCGCATCGACTTTATGAAAAGTTAAACATGTTTTAATAAAAGGCACCCTATAACTAAATAGCATGCCAGCCGTATTGACAGGAAATAGACAGATGTGAAAACAGCAAAATCAAATGCCACATAAAAATGTTACTCAAGTAAAAGTAAAGGTCATCCTGTAAAAAACTACTCAAGTAAAAGTAAAAAGTACTCAGTAAAAGTAAAAAAGTACTTGGTTTTAAAAGTACTAAAGTATCAAAAGTAAAAAGTGCTACATATTCAAATCTATTGATCTAACAAAAAGCAACCTATTTTTTATAATTCACTCAAGACAGATTTTAAATTCAGGATTGGAAATTACAGTGAATCACAATAAGGAAAACTAAGTTGCGAGAGGACAAGTGGATATTTCCTATACTGCGCGGGGGATTAGCCTGCGTTATTGGTCTGCGGATGTGGTCGTATCCACTTCATTCTTTCTGACAGAAACAGAACCATTTGGGACTGTATATTAGCACCCTGGACTGATCAGGTCACAGTGTGTTATCTCAATTTTACCTTTTTATATTCATATTTGCAAGTTTACATTTGCACCCTTCAATATGCTTGATTGAGCAAACATGTTTTAATGTGGTAGGCTATATAAAGGCAACAAGTATTTAAAAGCTAGGCTAAAATAGCACAAGACTCCTAAGGTTAGCATGAGACAAGGAGGTGGAACCCGAAACTAACTGAAAAAAAGAAATTCTCAGAAATCTCACCACAAATCCACACACGTTAACATTCAGCACCACTGATAAAGTGCAGCTCACAGTCGCAAACAGAGAAAGTTTCAAATGTGAGCTTACCGGCCATGAGAAGCAGGTAATTATCAGTTATAAGTGGAAAAAAAGTGAAAAAAATCCATATTGTGCATCCCAAAAACCAGTGTAGGTTTTGATAGAAAAGTCTGTCTCAAAAATAATGGACTGTATATATATCTCTACAAACTCTATAATCAGTCAGTGCAGTTCTCATTTGGCTTGGGTCCTTCCTTTTCTAAATGTAAGTATTAGGGGTGTGACAAGATCTCGTGCCATGCGTGTGCCTTGACAGTAATGAAGTGGAGTGAAGATATATATGTATATATATATATATAGATAGGTATATTGCAGAATGTAGTGCAAATGTACTCCATAGAGTGCTGATTTAGAACAAGACAGCATGCATCAGTTTCAACGGTTCTTTTAAATGCTATGCACTGTTGAAACATACCAGCTATGTTAAACATACCAGCTATACATTTTCACAGGGGTTGTTGAAAGCATTTCTTGACTGAAGCTATATCCTTCCACTTTCATGCAGACGACACTCATATGTCCGGTAACTGCTTTGATCTCAGTAATCCAACTAACCTAAATCACTGTCTGGACTCTGTGCAAGGCTATTTTCGGCCCTGAGTGCTCACGTCCCTGCAGCAGTCTGTGGGACATTTAACCTGGAATATCGAACAGTATACTAAGAATTTAGGTCTAACATTTAATTATTGTCTGGATGTTTCATATCGAGAAATGGGCAATCATGTATTTTTCAAAGATTACTTTAGTTATTGCCAGCAGGCACTAAATGGTGAAGGCCCTGAGTGCATTTCTGAATTATCTGTCAATGCAATAACTTAATATCTGAAGAGAAACACAATATTTGTTGTTTTTAAAACCCTTCTCAAGGCTCACTGAACAGTGTAGTGCTTTTCTGATTGATAACTTTGTCTTTTGTTGATCTTGTTTCTGTTTTGTTAATTCTTTTTAGTTGCTCTTTTTGTTTGTCACTATCCTGCCTGTTATTCTATCAGTGAATGGAGTTCTCTGATGAGAGTATCCTCGGTTGTTATGTGCAAACTACTACTACTCCAATGTCACAAATAAACATTCATGCTTAAATCTAATCTTACTCACAACTCATTCAATACATTTGCAACCACAAATTTATGGCATCAACACTAACAGCGGGTGAGTATCTTGAGGGTGGATTATTCCTTTACAGCCAAGCAAACCACACCAAATACTGAAAAACCAGCCTTTTATATTTACTCACCGTGCTGCCTTGACAACCTTGATTCCAAAATGTGCATCTTTTTTACTTTCTGAGGCTCTGGACGGCTCTGGCCTCTGGCTGTGATCAGGGGCTGAACAACATACAGACATAAAATTAGCCATGTAGTCATTATATGTAGGTATCCCTTATTCAACTCCACTGCATTTTGTGTTCACACTCACTTGTAGTTGTTGTACACTGGTTATCCTCTTCACTCAGTGTGCTCAACTGTCTTTTGAATTCTGAAATGAAAGAAAAGCATAGAAGAGATAATACATACAATAACCTGCAAGCTGATGTTCATATGCCACCACAGCAGGACAGCATGTCCAGTGTATATTCTTACCAGTGTGGAATCATGTGTAGCTGTTTTAATGAAAACAGCCAGCAGGGGGAGACATGTGCTAGTATGTTGCTGAGGCTCAGTCCCTCAATTTTGATGCTAATTCTAATCAAGAGGGAACAACATGGATCATTTTTGATTCTGTACCTGCATCTTGGTCACTGGGGGAGGCTATGGCAGTTTGGGATAATTGAGGCTCAGAGGAAGGAGGAGGATGCCCACAGAGCATAAGAGCAGAAGAAGAACTTAAAGGAGAAGGTGAGGGGGTCTCTACTGTAGGGGTCACCTGGGGTCTCCAGGAAGGAACAAATCCAGACCCTCCCTGGGGTTTCTGCTCCAAAGACTGACCAGTGGGCAGACAGAACGAAGCTGACAGAGAGGAAACACAATGGGGCAGAGGGATGAAGGAAAGGAGGGGAAGACAGAGGGAAGAGGGAATGGAAGGCAGAATATCAATAAAATCAGTTCTGCAGGCAAGTGTTGGTGCTTGTAACAGTCACTTAGCTCATATCTATAGATCTATGGATAACTCACAAAGAGGTGAGAGTTAGAGCAGGTTGTGCAGTAGAAAAGAACCAACAAAAGCAGCACATGAAGAGTCAGAGGCCAAAAAACCATCTATAGTACATCTTTCAGTAAGCTCTTTTCAAACTTGCACCTTGTTACATAAAGCTGGTAATTCTACATGTCTCATGTTTGAATAATTTACTTTTCCATGAAAGTCACAACATCTTACTAAATCAGACATAGTAAGATCTGTGTAACACTACCAACAAGGAATATTGTCAGACACTGCCAGTTAAACACAAAAGCTGCTGCAGCATGACATTAGTATAGAAGTATATAAAGAGAGTGGTAAAATAATTTTGTTAAGCCCTTTGTAATAAATCTAAATTAATTATAATTTCTTATGCACTAAGAAAAACAAACTATTAACAAAACACTATAAATGAGCCAATTTTGAGGATAAGACTAGCATTACATAGTTTTCTCAAGATCCTTTCAGACAAGAAATATGTGACATAGCTGGCTTCATCTAAGAAATGGTTTTGTGTAATTCAGACACAGAAGTCTGTTCTGGCGGCTTTATTCAGACGTGACAAGACCATTACAGAAAGAGCCCTGATGCTCACCCCACCTCTCGCATTTATCAATTTAATCATTTATTACATAGAGAATTCTGCTGCCTGTTTATTAATATCTGCAAAAACATAGAAAGCCATGACGTTGGGACCCTTGTTTGCTCCCATGTTGTATGTAAAGTGATTGGCTGGATACTTCATCCATGAAATTGGAAATGGAAAATTTGGGGTGCAGTAGAACGGTGTATGTGAGATTGAGTCAAAATAAACTACAGTGTGTGTGTGTTCAGAGGGATGAAGGAACGTGTCACCCAGAGCAACAATGTGGCTCACTGATGTGTTACTATATCATGACCTGAAGAAAATTGTTCTATAGAATGTTTCTCATCTTCCTCAACTGTTTACAGCATGAATTTCCAGTGATTTACATCCAGCATGTAAGCAAATATGAATTCAATGAGAATCGTAATCTAATGTCTTTTGACTATGATTGGTCGTTGTAAAATAGGCAGTAAAATTCTACCTTCTATTAAAACTCATCTAAAAGCTGAATCAGTGAGGATAAATCCAAGCTGTATATCAGTTAATCCAAAGCAAACAGGAGAAGAGGCACTGGGTTTCGATAAGTACAGAGAAGATGAATGAAAGGGCAGAGGGGTACAACAGAGAGGCCAAGGCTGAATAACAGGGGAGGATGTCAGGCTTGAGTTGGGTTAAAGTTAGAGCAGCATTACATGGCATCTCAATTCTCTGCTTTTTCTGCAGCACTGCAGGCTGTCCAGGATCGTTGGCAGAGAGATGCAGAGACTTAGGAGAGAGGGCAGGCTGTGCTAGAGGGGCCTGAGACCTAGGAGGCCTCCATTCACTCTGCCAGGAAGCTGGGGAAAAGAGGAAAAGAATAAAACATGGAGGGATAGAGAAAAAGGTAGAGTAAAAGGTGAATGAACTGAAAGCTGTTTACTAGCTTCTGACAGGATAAAACACCTCCTCCTGTCCCTGTACCTGTGTCAGGGGCAGATGGCAGACTTGTGGGCCTGGTGAGGGCAGAGCCTGGCTCCCTCACAGAGGTGAGGCGAGCTTTGGGCAGTCTGGAAGCAGGAGGCAGTGGAGGAATTGGAGGGAAGGAGCTGAGAGGAGCTGAAGATGAGGCGGAGGAGGGGACAGAAGGAAAAGAAGGAACACTCTGTGCTTTCCAGGCACTGGGACAGGCTGAGAGAGACCGGCGGAAATAAGACAAGAAAAGAAAAAGCGGGTAATGATAAAAAATGGAGGCGCACAAGCATACTGCTAATGCTGCATCAAAACTGAGATTTGAAAGAGTGCCTCAATTTTAACAAGCTGCAAACAAATAAAATAATAGTTGGTTGTAGAGAAAACATTTGTTAGCACAGTTGGAAATAATCAACATTAATTTAGTTGGCCGAACAAAAACAGATGAACTCTTGGTTTTTGTCTGGTTAATTTGCTCTCTGCATGCTGGTGTCTGCACTGGTAACAGTAGGCACAAGATGGTTTCCTTAAGGAAGAAAAAACACTATCATTTTATCTTTGACTTTTCAGACAGGTAGTTAGCTGACTAGCTTGGCAGTTATGGAGTTAGTAGTTAGCTTGATAGGTGAAAAGGTAGGTAGCTCTGAATTAAGACCTCAATGATTCGGGCTGTGAAGCAGTCTGTGAAGCTAATGTTAGCTCAAACAGCCACAGTGCAGAGCTGTCAACTGTTATTTTAGGGGTTGTCAGTCCCATTTCAAACACCAGCAGTCACTTACCAGTATTATGCTATTACTATCATATGTTGTGAAACGATGCAGACCTACAGAATCTAACAGTATGGTAAATCTCTTTGGATCAGTTATTTGTTACAGTTTTGGTAGGCAGGGACAAACTGCTTCAATCAGTCAATAGGGGTAGAGGACCAGAAAACATTATGTATGTATTTTGCCATTTAATTAGGAGTACTTGTTGGTTTCATTTCACTTTTGTTCACACAGAAATGAGCTTGTGATTATGCTTTGTTAAAAAACAAATTGTTTAAAAGCATGTAGACTTGCAAATAGATATTTTCTCCAACAGTGTAAATTGCCAGACTTTAATAACAGTGATCATACAATGACTAACAGAATATAGGGGATTTTAGATTTTTATTATTAGATAAAAGCAGGAGCTCATATCTGTCTTTTCTATTGAACGTGAGTGCAGCATTATCCCTTACATCAATAAATAGCATCATATGAACTGTACTTTCTAAGCCTTCGGCTACTTCAATGTAAATTAGTAACCACTGTAACTGATGTGATGTAATACCTGTCTGTGAGGTATCAAAGAAAGCGGGAGGGTGGAGAGATGGATCAGAGGGTGAAGAGGAGAGAGAAGAGGTGGAGAGGGCCTTAGAAGGGGTGAAGACAGAGAAAGCCTGGGTTTCCAAGCCCTCAGCTGGAGAGGAGTCACTGTGGAAGCTATGGGGCCTTCGAGGAGCTGAAATGGGCACTAAGAAGATAGTGAAAGAAAAGTAAGCGGCAGAAAAGTAAGAGGAATGGGGAGAGCAGAGAGACAAACCAAAAGACAGAGAAATTGTGAGCGAAACTAGAAATAAACAGAATGTCAATAGCCAACCAAAGGAACAGTTAATGAGAAATATGCATATCCGCTTTCTTTCCAAGAGTGAGATGAGATGATGGATGCCATTCTCATGTGTGTGTGTTAAGTATAGAGCTGAAATCAGGATGTGGTAAGCCTAGCTTAGCATAAAGACCGGAAGCACTGGAAGCATATGTCTAAAAGCATATCTTCACTCGAAGAAATAGTTCCAGCACACAAGTCCCTGTGGAACCACAAACTGTTGTTATTACATTTCTATTTGTGTACACATGAGCTTTAGAGGTGTTGAAAAGTGTATTTTTGAACTTTGGACACAGCCAGGTTAGCTGTTTACCCCTGATTCCAGTCCTTAAGCTAAGCCGGGTTAATGACATCCTGACTCCAGCTCTGTACCTAACACCACAGACTAGTATTCATATTCCCTAAACATTATCAGGTCATTTGCTAAAATTTGAGCCAACAGCTATTTTATTTGAAAAGCTTCTAAACAGTAACACAATGATAAGGCTCAGTCTAGCCATTTTGTCATGGATGTGCAAAGGTAACGTGTGAATAAAACACATACAAATGTGTTTAAATGTATCTGTATGCATTTAAAGAAGCTGTAAAGTAAAATTGGAAAGCCCAACTTACAGTCCACAAGCTTTTCTATTGACAAATTAACTGTGACTATGCACTACTGCTGTACAAACCAAACAATAATGTAAGAAATTGCACATGTATACTTATGTCAAAAATGACTAGGCCTGGATAAGGAACTGAAAATTTTCATTTTCAATTCCTGATGCTTGGCAGAGAAATGATTTTCATTCCCTTGTCCTAACTGGACTTATTGGTTGAAATGTATGCCATTTTACGAAACTTCAGACCCCATGGTTTAAAGCCATGGGCTTATTCCTGTTCTTTACTTAATTCCAACAGCCCAGGTGTATATTTTTTTAATAGTTAAATATACTTACACACAGACACACAAACACACACACACACACACCTTCTCCAGCTTGGAGTTCGTTCATATCATTTTCATAATAAAAGTCCCAAAAGGTAGCAATTCTTCTTCCATACATTGACTACATTCTTCTGCATACTTTCAGCTTTTACTTTTTAGTAAAAAAATTTTTCTACCTTTTCTACTTTTTAAAGCACAAAGCATTTCTTCTTTTTTCAATCAATTCTTTTCGACTTCCACCAGACAATATTACAGTTTTGCTTCCAGTACCAGGGCTGGTAGGCGTAATGCCATTTGAGCTGCTTGAATATGTGAAAAATCGAGTTTCTTAACAGTGACCAAAAAAAAAACAGCAAATGGAAGTAACCACAACAAAATCCTCAATAAAAAAAGTATTTCTGTAAAAGTGTTAGTATATTTAAACACGGACAATTAGGCATAAAAGCCTGTTCCAAATAAAGGCCTGGTTCTCTGAGCAGCTGAGGTTAATAATGGGAGATTAAGTAGTCCATTGCCCTTATCATTCAGTAAATTGTGTTAGTCATCAAATCAAGTCAAAATTTTTGTTGCTACAACTCAGCTAGTTCTCATTCTGAAATTTCTGTTCAACAACTTGAAATGTCGAAACAACAACATTGAGCAGAGAGGACATTTTGAAACATGGACCTGCAACTGCTGCAACAGGATGCTTTGAATTAAAATATTGCTGGCAACCATACAGAGTGGTGTGAACTAGAACTACACAATTATTTACTAAAATTGACCAATCTACCAAAATAAGCTGCCCCTAAAGAGACCACACAGCATAAGGAATATCTGTTGACTGATACCTGTTCCGGCCCTGGGCTGGAAGATTTTGGGAAGTGCAGGAGGGTGAGCGCGAGTAAAGGCTGGCAATGAGTAGGCATAGGCGGAGGGCCGAGCCTGCTGGGTAGTGCTTGATGGTCGTGTGTGTAAAGAGGATGGAACAGAGAGGTCTGGGGGCTGAGGCAGAGGAGGACGAGATGAAACCGAGATGGTGGAGGAAATGCCAGAGGACGTTTTCCAATGCATCTCTGAGGTTACTGGGTGAAAGATAAGAAAGGAGATGAAAGCATGGACAGGATGAAGCTAAAAGTGGGGAGAAAGAGATAAAATGAAGGATTGAAAGAAAAGATGAATAAGTAGAGGGGGAGATAGGAGCAGTTAAATACAGATTAGGATGTACAGCTGAATGTGGATGTGTGGGAATGAGGTTTTGCAGCATCTCATAAGGAAAGCGGGAGTGAGGAGAATGGGGGGGGATGAATGAGATGAAAGAGTGGATTTTTTTAAATGGTCAGTTATCGTACTCAGATGTGATTTCAACACAACAAAAGTACACAGTGAGACTAACTAACAGGAAAATCAAAAAATTGGAGGTTTTTAATACAAAAAAATTCATGGCCTTAACACTCTGCAAGGCTAATTTGGCCAATACGAATAATACAATTTTAAAGAAACATTATGAATGCAACGGTGGGAGTGGAAGTGTAAATCAGGAAACAGAAAGTTACCTGTGAGGCCTGATTCAATTGCAGGCCTCCAAGCCAGATCACATACTCTTGTGGTAGAAGGGGCAGAAGCTGTTACAGAGAGAAAAAGGAACAGCAGACCGACAGAATAAACACAAAGAGAACTGCGTCTTAAATAGGAAACAAAAGAGGAAGCAGCAGTTTGAGAAAAACAGTTCAAAGAGAAATAAAAAGATGAGAAGGGAAATCCTTTCACTCCTCACAGCTGAAACAGAGCTGAGGTTGACAAGGGGGGCAAAACATCTCTCCCACATGGCAAGTCTTTTCCAGGATTAATTATACTGACTAATGATATTGTTGTGGGAAAGTACTTTTCTACATGTGGCGCATGTTTCTACATGTTATCTAAATGTTCGTCGTCAATAGCTACCAATGTTAATATTAATATCTAAATCACACAAATTACAGAATGTGTGTAAGTTAGGTTACTTGTCGTTCTACATAGGGAACGTTAGGCTACGCCAACGGTGGCTCGTGTTAGCTCCTGAAGTAGCAGGATTAGCTTTTTTTACGTAAGCTACTCATACATTGTATGTAGCTACAGTGTGTTCGTTTTTTGTATAGCATTTTGCAAGGGCATAGGTTTGCATTTGTCTTAACATGTTGACGACGCTCAGGTTAGTTATTTGTCCAAAGGAAGATCAATTAAAAATCTACATAGTTTAGACCGTTCAGTGTAGCTTTTCACATTTAACGTTAAACAGTGTGCAAAGACTTTGCTGGCTGTATGAAATGATCTTAGTTGAATTGAAGTTTATGTGCTACGACAGTGTTTCCCAACCATTTCCTGAAGAATGTTTCCCCCTGTCCTGCATGATTTAATCTCTCCCTGCTTCAACACAGCTGACTGAAGCAGCTTCAGGATTTATAACGAGTTGATAGTTTGAATCAGCTGTTTTGGAGCAGGGAGATATTTAACACAGTTATCCACATAAAGATACTACTCCTCACCACAGCCACTGTTGGCATATCCTAATTTGCGTGATTTAGATGTACAAATATTGATAGTGGTAGATATTTTGATGGAACATGCCAAGACCCATGCATTCAGACTTTTTTTTTATGTTTTGGATAATGCAAATCAGTCACTGCTGCCAACTCCTTTTCTAACTGTGTAATCTCTGTGTGTACAGTGAACAAAGTAAAAGTATTATTACAGTAGGCTATTGTGTCCATTCATTTTTAAAAAGTGGATATTTACAAAATTATCGATACAGGTATACGTGTTGTATTGCATGTGTGTTCATTTTTACAGATTGTACAGTTTGATAGTCCACATAGTCCAGCAGGGTTCTAGTTCCGGTCCAGAAGGAGAGTCTGAGCTCTTAATCATGCATCTGTGAGGGTCAGTAATTCATTTACCAACAACCATTATTTTTAATCACAAATGTACATTATATTAATAAGATACACACTAAAATAAACACGTTTTCCAAACGAACTATGCTGCGCACTGCATGAATATCATTACGATATGATAAATAATAATTAATATGATACCATAAAGGGCGGATTTGCGGTCTTTCCTTGAGCAGTAGTCTTTGTTGGTTTATTTCAGGCTTTTAAAACTTAAACTTTGCAGTATCACACACATCTGGGCTGCTGTGTGTGAGAGAAAGTGTTGACCACGTAATGAGCAATGAAGTCTCTGTCCAGGCTTCTATTATTTACAGAAGAAGGGGCCTAGGCTCTGTATTGGTTTAATCTGAAGCCTCACTTTAAGATTTCTTCTCATACTGGCATTGCATGTTAATTTGGTGTTATCACCCCAGTGGTTCCCAAGTGTGTCCCCAGTTTTACCAGTAACAGCTTGTCCAGTTCCAAAGCTGGTCCTCCTCTCCTCACTGACTTCATCATCACTGTCATTAAAGTCATCCAGATTTCCAATGTCACTCTGTTTCATACTCATAAGACTGGCCAAACTCTGCATGTCCTCATCACTGTGGAGAACAGAAAAATCAAAACAAATATCAGTACTGATCTTCAAAAAACAATATTAGTCCAATATTTGTTTTAACAAATGATTTAAATTACAACTACACAGCATTAAAGAATTACTGCTTTCAGTAAATTACATCGATATGCTGCCTTGGTGACGACTTACGTGGCTTTGCCCTCTTTGAGAAAGATGCAAGACAAGTTCAGTTTCAGCGTGGCTTCCACCACTTTGACAGACAGCGGTTTGAGCTTCAGAGTTACATCATACTGGGCTGATGTGGCACTGGCAAACTTCTTCATATTGACATCAGCTGATGCCAACACCTTCCTGCGGCCTTTCGTCTCCTAATAAATCAAAACCAATGGAGTATTTTTCAGTTAAAAGTAAAGGAAATGAAATCAAAAGTAGGCATAATGCTGATACAGCAGACTCACATTTTCAATGACAAAAGTCCAGTCCTTGTCTTCAAACTCCTCTGCAGTAGGTTCCTGTTGACAGACAAATCATTGCTTGATGCCTTAGCCATGTCATTGCCCATCCAGATTAATAACTAGCCGAAGTTGTGCATTTCCCATCTGTAATCCAAATAATGTATCAGCTACAACTACATAGAGATTTCTTACCTTGAAGAGTGTGACAGTGATGTCTAAACTCTCTGGAACCTGCCAAACCACCAGGCCTCTGTAGGGGTTTTTGATCCCTGGCTGCCAGCTGTGGAGCTGACAGAAAAGATAAGTTTACAAGTTAACAAGTTTCCTAGGTTTCCAATGGAATTTTGCCTCTGCACATCACACTTTAAATACAAAACTAAAATAAAGTTTATCCTATTGGAACCATCCAAGTCCAGAAAATATTTCATAGCATTTTAGCCATTTCTTCTCCTTAATCGCAATCTGAATGCTTCTGAATGAATCTTGTCTCATTCTGTTTGCTTTATTACCTTTGTGCTGTGACGTCTGTTCCTCCTGATCCACACCACTCTCAGCTTGTCTGGCTGCCTGCAGACACAGAATAGCACAAATAATTTTAATGTTTCTAGCAAGCCAACACATGCGTACAACGTGATCAACAAACACACCCAGGTAGATATGCAAACACGTTTCTGAAAGACTGGTAACAGGAATGTCTGAATCCATCTGATTGTTGTTGAGATATTTCCCTCCCATCCACAAACCTCATGCTGGCACTGGATGAAAAGTCAGGGGTTCACAAAAGTCAGGTTTCATCCTCTGGGGACCATAAATGTTGGTACAAAATGTAATAGTGGGCCTATTCCATCCATTAGTCTGACCCAAAGTGGTGGACTGAGCCACACTGCAATCCCTAGAGCTCCTGCTGTGGTCAAAAGAACACAGAACTGATACATTTGATCCCTCTTCAATGGGACTTTAAGCCCCATTAGGATTTCAGATATACATATTTGGTGTTCATTGGCGACCTGTCCAGGGTGTACCCTGCATTTCGCCCGATGTCAGCTGGGATTGGCTCCAGCCCCCCGCAACCCTGTACGCAGGATAAGCGGTTGACGATGGATGGATGGATGGATGGATATTCTGTGTTCTTGTCAATTTTCTGTTCTTGTCTGTGTCCTCTTACAATTGTTCTATCATTGTAACATCCCATTATAACCTTGCCAATCAGTAAATTAAGATCTAGTTTCATTTAATCTAATAATGGGGTCTGAGGAAGAGCACAGGCCCAAAAGATGTTGGTTTGTCAAAAATAAGACAAAAAGCACACACACACACACACATCTGTGTGTGTACAGAAAATTGAGGTCAAGCGCTCGACCAGGAGAAAATGAAAATCCTGTGACTGTGTGAGCAAGAACTCAGTGATGGAGAGTTAGTCCTGAGGATAAACAGCTCTGTGTGTGTGTGTGTGTGTGTGTGTGTGTGTGTGTGTGTGTGTGTGTGTGTGTGTGTGTGTGTGTGTGTGTGTGTGTGTGTGTGTGTGTCTGGCCAGAATAAGGATCCAATGTCATGTTTTTGATGGGAATTTGCTGGAGCCGGTTAGAGATTGCAACAAAACAGGAAACGCACGCTTGAATTTGTCTTCAGTTAGGGGTTCATAGAAGTGAATGGGACACTTCTAATATTTGTATACTACAAATGTTTTTTACCACTCACTACACTCTAAATGCCTCCTGTTCATTTCTAACTTGACAGCTTGATACTCAAAGTACATTTAGGTCTGATACTGCCCCATAATGAATGAAATCACTTTAGTTTTTGGCCAAATCAGTTTGTGCTACTGTACAGCTTCATTCTGTGACATTAACGTACGGCTCAACAGGGTTACATAATAACCGTATTCTATCTGCTGAGAATCTATATCGCTCAGAGAATATCGTCAGGAAAAAAAAGCAGTGAAAGGAAATGCGGAATAGATGTGGAATTTTTAATGTTGTGATGTCGGCCATACTATCTACCCAGAGAATTCACATTTGATACAGATTTTTGTTTTTGTTTAATTATTTTTTTATTTTTTGTCTATTAATACACACACACACGTTTATGGTTTTATCTAATTATTTTATTAAAATTTTTAATATATTATAATAACACACACACGAACACACTTTACTGTTTCATTAATTTATTTTATTTAAATTTTTAATATATTATAATGACACACATTACTGTTTCATTTATTTATTTTATTTAAAATTTTTATATTTTTTTAACACACACTGTTTTATTTATTTTTAATATTTATTTTTACGTAAATTTTATATTTTATATATTTTTTATTATTTCATTTTTTATTATTATTATTTACTTATTTAATGAAATGTATGAAATTCATTGTTCTTATGTAATTTATTTGTAGCTATGGCAATATTGTTGTTATACATTAATTATTGTGACAATAAAATCTACCTACCTATACCTGGCAGCTACAAAGCCCTCCCGCGTCCCCATTTTGTTTTTTCAGACCATGTTTCTCTGCTTCTTCAGCCCACTTACACCCAGCTGATTAAAAGGAGGCTACAGCAGCTCTGCAGAACTGTTCGGGGTGCACAGACTGGAGTGTGTTCAGAGAGGCCGGCCCAGAAGAGCCACATCAACCTTGAGGAATATACATCAGCAGTGACATCATACATCAGCAAATGTGGTGATGATGTGGTGATCACTAAAACGATAAAATCATTCCCCAACCAGAAGGCCTGGATGAACGGAGAGGTGAGGGCTCTCTCCAGAGCCAAAACAGCTGCTTTACAGTCGGGTAATAAAGAAGCTTACAGCACCGCCAGAGCGAGACTGAAAGCTGGCATCAAGGAGGCGAAGACATCAGCAGAGACTGGAGAGAGACCTCAACAACAACAACACCAAAGACATGTGGCAGGCCATCAAAAACATCACAGGCTACAAAGCAGGAGCTCCCCCATCATGTGTGAGGCCACATTTCCAGATGAACTGAACACCTTTTATGCTCGCTGTGATCTCCTCAATAAGGAGTCAGCTGTAAAGTCTACTCCACCTCCAGAGGACCGGCCACTTAAATTCACTTTGGTGTAAGAGACCTGTGTTTGATTCCACTATTGGGTCCGTGAACAAGACGCTAGTTGCCCCTGAGGCGTGCAACCTTTGATATATATTGTAAGTCACTTTGTATAAATGTGTCTTATTATTTTTTCTGCAGCAACCAGACCGAAATATATAGAAAATCTTAGCAGAATATTTATGTAAAGATTTTTATTGTGCCTATGTGCGTAGTGTTTTGAAAAAAGTGTTGTTTAGAACTGTAATTTAGCAGACTTGGTTTAGGGGGTTGCTACATGTATAACAGGTTGTGGGCACTGTGTCTCAAGTACCAGTGTGAGCATGTAAACATTGGAGAAAATTGTTTTGCAGAAGTGAAATTTAGCCTACTATATGAAGTGATATGGAAAAAATACTGAATGCTTTTCTGATTCAAACTTGTTACATTACACTTTAGTACATACAGACAATAAAGTGAAAATGTTATTCTGATTTCATAATGAAATACTGATTTACGTGAAAATTGTTATGTAATGCTTCCTGTTGTCAATGTTTTTAAGTGAGTGAGAATTCCTGCCAGTGTTATGGTTGAACAAGTTTCTTTTGAGACATGTATGATGTGTTTTGGTGGTTTGGGTGAGCTTTGGAGGTGAGATTATCAGTTTAGCCAAGATGCATGTTGTTAATGCAGACTGTATGAAGAGTAGGGCTGAAACGATTTATCGATAAATCCGATTACTAAAAAGCATCGACACAAATTCTTTGCATCAATGTTTCATTTAATCCATATAACTATAGAGCGCAGCGCAGCGTTTTGCACGGACATTTGTTACTGTCGCACTTTTTGACACTCTGATCAAGTGAACATGAAGTCATTGTGATGGCGCTGTTTGCAAAGTGGAGGAAAAGAGAGAAAATAGCGAGGGACGAAGAAGCATTTAAACCAAATCCTGATTTATTGTTGAGTTCAAGGCTATCAAAAGTAAGCCGCAATCCTCAGCTGAAAATGTATACATATGCGTTTGTTGTTATTGTTCTTAGTTCTTGGGTTAGTCCGTGAGTTTGAGTTGTAGCGTCACAGTCATGAGTTACACAGCTGAGAGTGGGCCTGCGCCTCCTTCTCATGTTGCATGACCACTGTGTGCATCTGTGAGAGAGAGAGGAGCGAGAGTGGAAGATTTGAAGAGAGAGAACAGAAATAGACAATATCTGCCATGCTGAACTTCCCAGAGGCTTAGCAGCAATCCCACACCTGCTGCACTATTTATCACAGACATGTTCCTGTGCTGTTGCAACAGGCTGACCAGCAGATAGAGCACACTGTTTTAGCTCCTGTAGTGTAGAAGTTAGCGGTATAACTTCTCCAGATAGAATATGTGTCGTAACACACACATCAGACATTGTCTTCATCAGTTTGAAGTACAAGGTGTTTGATCTCTACCATACAAGGGGAATAGTTTGATCATACAACTTCTAAATAGTTGTCCCCAGACTGTCCAAACCCTTGGATACTTCAATGGAGGTGGTTTTGGCTCAGGGAGACAGCCCATCTTGCTGATCCACATTTTACACATTCTTGTCATAGACTATAGAGAGCACAGCCATACTGTCTGTGATGTCGCCCTTTGGGTCACACATGAGTTTGTTTCTTGCTGATCTTTAAAGGCCCTGCATAACCACACAGGGGTTTTCAATTCATGATTAGCTTTCTTTTTGGGACTGCGTGGGGGTGTCTCGTCTGGAGTCAGAACGTGGTTAGCTTAGAGAGATATTTCATGATTGCCTCTGTACATATTAAAGAGCCAGCCTGGACTCAAAACATTATCTTCTTGTTAAGAAAAACTGTTTTTGAAAGAGAGCATTCTTCAGTTATTTGATGATTCACAACAGCCGTGTGCAGTTAAAAGTGTGCAGCGTCCTGGAGTGTTAATGTCACAATAAGGCTGCCCGTTTTGGAAGCATTTTGCCTACACAGATACCAGAACGTGTGCTCAGCGACTGTGTCTGGCAACCAGAGACACAGCTGGAGACGTTTAGTTTATCCATTCCACAAGCACATCTCTGCAGTCCAGTACTTCCAGATCTGATCAAACATTCAATGCCAGCGTTCGTTCTCCAGCCTTAGAGCTAGCTGCCAGATACATTCAGTGACCACAGGTCTCTGTACAGGCATGAACGTACACTGTCACTGTGATGACAAGACTTTTGCTACTACAACGCTGGATTATTGCAGTTCTTTATTATCCGGATGAATAAGTCCGTTAAGACTATCCAGCTGATCCAGAATGCTGCAGCACGACAGGAACCAGGAAAAGAGATCATATTTCTCCTGTTTTAGCTTCTCTGCATTGGCTTCCAGTAAAATCCAGAATAGAATTTAAAATCATTCTTCCTACCTACAAAGCTCTTAATGGTCAGGCACCATCTTATCTTAAAGAGCTCATAGTACCTTACTACCCCACCAGAGCACTGCGCTCCCAGAATGCAGGGTTACTTGTGGTTCCTAGAGTCTT